CCCATATGTTTGTGTACACACATTGTACACAAAATGCAGCCGCTGATCCACATGAGATAGGTATGCATCTTTAGCAGGAAAACCTTCTTTTTTGAAAGAACCCGTACTCCTAAAAAAATGATGCGTATGGGTTCTTTCGAAAAAGGGGTTTTTTTCCCCTGAAAGAACCCCAAATAGACTGAGGTTTCTTTTTTGAAACCCTTTTTTGAAAAAGTGCTCTCACGCGATTATGCAAATGAAGCACAAGATTTGTAAATACATGCTTCATTTGAATTTTTGATCAGCCTCATTTACATTCCTCTTTCAAAAGAGGAATGTAGTTTAGACAGATTTCAGCTTGTTGGAAATTTCAAAATTATTTTTCTATTTTACATTTGAAAACTTTTCAAATTTTACATGAATCAAAGAGTCAAATCAAGTTTTGTTTCAGCTCAAACAAAATCTTTTGTTTCAATTAAGTATATTCAAGTTCATCCATTTATAATATTTAAAAACAATAAAATTAAAGGAAATTTTGAAACAAACTCATCTCAAACTGAAAAAGTGAAACATTTCATCAGCTTCACTGTTAAAAATCTCTGCCTTTTTCTCCTTTCAATTTGTCTAGCTTCAGCATTGCTCCTTGTATGCTTTTCTCTGCTAGATTAGAGGCCTTTAGGAACCAGCATTTTTCCCTCAAGTATGTACTTATGCATTTGTCATGAACAGAAGGAGTGCTGACCTGCACCCAGTGACTAAGGAGTTAACGCAGGTCCCCAGCAAAGCTGTCAGCCGAGGGGGGAGATGTCAGGCAGTCAGCCAATAAAAATGCACATAGGAATTTCAAACCTGGACAGAGGGCTTTTTCTCTCTTTCTCTTCTTTATCTGATGGCAGAGTAGTTTCTCCCAGGTATTGAGGGAGATGAGAGATACCTTCTCTTTCCAAGAATGGACTTCTTGAATTATGTAGGTAGAGAAACGTTTAGATAGTCCATCAGGGTTTATTGTTTTCCTTGTTTGGGGGTTTGGAAATTGTCTGAGCTGGCTAATGGTTTTTCTCTTTTGTAACTAAGGATTGCAGCCCAATTGACTTTCCCTGAGTCTATGTCAATTGTGGCTACTTACCACCTAGTCAATTTACTATGCTTGCAACAGTAGTTTTGTTTTGATAATAAAAGAGTTTTCTTTTTATTTTGATTAACCGGTATTGGTTGATTGTTGTGTCCTTAAGATTAAGTGCCTAGTTACAAGGTGGAGTCCATTGTTCTCTGTGGATTCCCTCAATTTGTTTTCCCAACTCCAAGCAAAATGGAGGTTGGAGGCAGAGGGGAGAGCTTTACCTTAAGGAGGAGATTCCTGAGAGATCTCTTCCCTTGAAAAGGATTTTTATTTTATATTTTCTTTTAATTGCTTGGGTGGTGGCAGCCCGGAACTAGTCTTGTCTTTTTGTTGGATCTCAGGGGGACTGAGATTGAATAAATTTGTCTCTGGGAATCACAGACACAGATTTTGCATTTTTTTATTCTGCTAACTGGTCCTCCACCTTCTGCATTCATAATGCCAGAGTAGAGAACTGCCGTGACAACCTTGCACTCAAATCACCTCTCAATCTTCTTTTTGGGAAGTGAAACATTATTTTTTTACTTCACTATCAGGCATTTTATCTAGTTATCAAATAATCTGTGGCTCTTTTCTGAACCCTCTCTGATTTTTTCAACATCTGTTTTAAACTATGAACACAAAAAGGGCATATAGTATTCTAGTGCTGGTCTTACCAATGTCATATGCAGAGGTAAATTCAGCTCTATTCTCCTACTCACCAACTTCTCTGTTTTACATATCTAAGAATCACATTAACCCTGTTTACCATCATATTGGGAAGGAGCTCATGTTGAATTTCTTGTGCATTATTACCCCCTAAATCCTTTTGGGACTGCTTTCTGAGATGCAGTCCCCCATTCTGTAGGCAAGGACTGCATTCCTGGAGACCAGATGTGTAACTTTGCATTTGGCCATCATAAAATGCATTTTGTTTGAATGGGCCCATCTTACCAAGCAATCCAGATCACTCTATATGACTGCCCCTGTCCTCATCATTATTTATCACTCCACCCATCTTGGTATCATCTACAGCTTTTATCACCAGTGATTTTATGTTGGTTTCAGGTTGACTGATGAAAAAACTGAATAGCATCAGGCCTCATACAGATCCCTGTGGAATCTCACTAGAAACACCCCGATTCAATGATGATTCCTGATTTGCAGCTACTGTATTTTGAAGCCCAGCAGTTAGACAATTCTTAAGCTATTTAATATGCATTTTATTCCTGTTGTACAGTGCTAATGTTTTATTCTGAGTGTTGGGCAGTACTAAGTCAAATGCCATATGCAAATCAAGATATATTACATCTATATAGTTTTCTTTGCAACCAAGCATGTAATCTCATTAAAGAATGAAATCAGGTTTATTTGTCTAGAACTATTGTCCATAAAACCATAAATCAAAACAGGAAAGGATATACTGACAGCTCCTGTTCTTTTAAACTGTCAGGTAGTTGAAAAGCTTTGGATTGTACAAGTATTCCAGGAGATTTGGCTTTTATTCCTGGCTTTATCACATCATTGCTATGCTATATTGGTCCTTGACTTTCCTGTCTTTGAAATGGGATAATTCCTTTCCTATCATGATTTCATGAATCTCAGTTTGTTGAAATGATTTGAGAACTCAGAATGGACGGAGCATGAAGTGTTACTCCATAATACAGTGGCAAGAGCACTGCTGCTGAGAATTCACTGTCAACAGATGGAGAGTTCAGAGCATTTCTCTCACTCAACTTGGTATCCAGTCTCACTTCATTTGCATAAAAGGTACAGCTTGATGGATGATCTATTAAATCAGATGAAAATGTCTTCATTTCAGATAGGAAAGAATGCATTGTTAATTCTACCATGCTGTTTCTGAAGATCTGGGAAAAAAATATAAGTCCTGCAAGGCAAAAATGTCCAGCTATCCAGAAATTAATCAGGAAATAAGGCACTGCATTAGTCACAGCTCTTCATTCTAACAATAATTTAGCTGCTGGGGCAATGACCTCAGTTTGTGTAATTTGACAGAGCACTACTAAAGTTATTGGTGATGTACAGATTTATTTCAGTTAAGGATATGTCCCTAGAATTTTACTAAGAGTTCAGATGCAAATGACTGAAAGGAAAACTGCAATTTCAATAAGCAGTCTTTATTTTTTAAAATATATCTTTGGCTCCCACGGAATTCCAAAATGACTGATTTTCTAGCAGCACTTATTTGAGGTGGCTGGAAAATGGAATTTCTGTCCCATGAAAAATATCAGGATTTTGAAATGTTCTTTTATTCTGATTCAGGATGAAAAGTCAAAAACTTGAAGTATTTTGCAGAATGAACTACAGGTTGCACCTCTATAAACCAGAGGTGGATGTTCTATGGGTGTTATAGGATCAGAGAGTCCCAGAGTGATGCAGGGTATTGGGGGGGACCAGGAGCTTGGCACTATGCAGGTGTGTGGGGTGTGTAATACACAGCCCAACTGGGCTGTGGGGAGTGGAAAGCAGGAAGCCCGGTGTGAAGCTCAGCTGGACTGCGGGGCAGGGGAGCCAGTGTGCAGCTCAGCTGTGCTGCAGGGTTCAGGAGTTGGCACATGGCTCAGATGGGCTGAGGAGGGTGAAGGGGCTCAGCTGGGGCAGGAGGCTGGGGGTAGGAGGAGGGGCAGGGCTAGGACA